GACAGAACCATGAAGGTTGAGGTGAGAGGAGGTGGTGGAGGAGGATTGAGTGGTCAATGGTGTCAAAGGCTGCAGAGAGGTCAAGTAGGACGAAGAGACACAGGGAACCCTCACCTTGCTTTTTGTCCACATTTGCACAAGGTAAGTCCGTGTGTGATCAGTAGTGCAATTTCATTTTTTTCTTGATTAAATATTAATTTGTGGCATAAAACAAGAAATATTCAATCAAGAATATTTATTTTGTTGCCGACCATAAATTTTGTTTAGATGAAGATGTCCAAGGAGCTTTCCTGGCAACCTGTTTCAGTCATCGATTACCCTTTGGGTAAAGAAAACTTTCCTGGTGATTGTTCTGAAATAGTCTTTTGCAACCCTAAACCCGTGTCTTGTGCTATCACGGTGCACCTGATGTATTTGATCTGGGATGATTTTTTCGAATCACAATAAAAGTGTTATACACCTCTATAAGGTCATCTTTAAACCCCGCCCCACGGTCTTGCTCCTCCCTACTTCTAAGACCTACTAAATCTTTACAAACCCCTCTGCTCCCTTTGCTCTGCAGGCACTGACATGCTCCATGTCCCCCGTACTGCCCGCTCTACCATTGGCAGTTGGCCTTCAGCCTTTCTGCCCCCACCCACTGGAACTCCATCCTGAAGACTCTCCACCTCAACCACTTCCTTGCCTCCTACAAAGCTCGTCTCAAGACCTTCGTCTTCGACTATGCCTTCAGTCATTTTAACCACTCCTAATATGAGATTGTTTCCACTCCTTCCTTCTCACTCTGCCTCCACACTTCCTCTCTCTAACATTCTTTCTGCCTTCTGCTTTTTTTGTCCACAAAGCCTCACTGTGAGAGAGAAACTCCTGTCTCTTTTCCTAAAGTTAGATCAGGAGACTGTCAGAAGTTGTGGGTTCGAACCCTACGTCGGGACTTGGAATCACAGTCTAAGATGACACTCGAATGCAGTGCCAGGAGGGTATTGCACTTAGTTAGTTGTGATTAATAATAATAATACCTATTATTATTCCTTAATTTTCTTTGAAAGTGTCCCATGGGGGCATGCTTTTCTGCCCCATTTTCTACTCTTCCCTTCTGAAGTCACCTTATAACCTGGGTTGAGTTCAAAGCATGCACTTCATTATTTTTTCTGATTGGCCATTATCCTGCTCAAGAACACCACTTGTCTTTTTTTTCCCTAACCCTGTCCTGTCTCCTGCTTGATTAGACCACTGGAAAGAACGGTTTCTGCTTATAACACAAATAGACTTTTCCGTTTATCAGGAACATGTCTCAAAGCGCTTTCACAGGATTTACTGTAAAGACTGTAAAATGAATTGACTGTATATTTGTGGGTGAAACGCGGCAGCCAACTGCGCACAGCAGTGTCCTACAAACAGGCGTGGATTGAAAATGACCAATTTATTATTGTTTTGTTTTGGAGGGATTATTACCAGGTGTGTGGAGTAAGGAAACTTGCCCAAGGTTTCGCCCTGCCTGGAATTGAACCCAGGTGTCTCGCTTGCAAGGTGAATGCAAGGATTATTATTTTGGAGGCAAATGCAGCAGCCAATTTGCACATAGCAACATCCCACAAACAGTCATGAAACGAATGACCAATTTTCATCTGAAGGATTGTTTGGCCAGGACACCAGAGAGAAACTTCCTTCTCTTTTCAAATAGTATTATGGGATTTTAACATCCATATGAACAGGCAGAGGGGACTTTGATTTAATGTCTCACCTGAAAGACGGCATCTCTGACAAATTAACACACCCCAGTGCTACATTGGAGTATCAGTCTAGCCTGGGAGCTCAAGGGTCACACATAGGGCTTAAACTCACAAGGTTCTGATGCAGAGGTGAGAATGCTACCAACCGAGCCAGGCTATCAGCCTCCTGCAATCACTGCCTCAAAATGTCATGAGTACAATGCACGGGGGGACATATCTCCCAGTAATATGAAATGTGTTATATAATGTTTCTGCATCACGTCATTCCATGGCGGGGATGGAAATAGTACATCGTAATAATAATAATTAAGGAAGTGGGAAGAGACAACAGATGGGATAATTGTTCTTACCTATGTTTCTCTGAGTCATTGGCTTATTGCATTAGCCTGGTAATGAAGCACTGAACATGAAAATACCACCCCCCCACACCAAAAAAAAGAATAATCCCTGTGAATTATTCATCAATGGAATTAGTGAGTCAGCAGTATATTTTTACCAAATCTCTTGAGTTAAATAAGGCTGCAAATGATTCTAGGTCATTAAACCAACCTCATTTTGAAACTTATATAAACAATTAGTTACTGAACTGCAAATGAATAAACCCATCAACATTTCGGCATCGACACCTCTACTGTCATTTAAAAACATGTATTGGAAACCCATAGTGGAGTCCTGTAGCTCAGTGGTTAGAGCACTCGCTTTGCAAGTGAGAGACCTGAGTTCAATTCCAGGCAGGGCAAAACCTTGGGCAAGTTTCCTTACTCCACACGCCTAATAATAATCCCTCCAAAAAACCCAAAACAATAATTAAATTGGTCATTTTCAATCTACGACTGTTTGTGGGACATTGCTGTGCGCAATTGGCTGCCGCGTTCGCCCACAAATATACAGTCAATTCACTTTACAGTGTGTTCTGTGAAGCGCTTTGGGACGTCCTCCTGACGTGAAAAGCGCTATATCAAATGCAAGGATTATTATTATTATTATTATAGTTGAGTCTTCCTTTGACCACAAATACGATAATTATGACGGGCAGGAGAGGATAGGTGATTAGTGAGCTAACTAGTCTGGTGAAACGATGGCTTTCCATTCTCCCCGAGCGTCTGTGGTCAGGTTGAAGCTTGTATTGCAAAACAAGAAGCTGAGCATGTGTTACCTGGCATCCGACACAGTAACGTGAATCCACCCCCGCTCCGATTTGAGGCCCACAGCTTGCCACTGAATTCATCTGCTCTTAGCATGAAATTCCTTGCTCCCTCAACACAAATAATAATAATAATCCTTGCATTTGATGTAGCGACTTATCACATCATTGAGATGTCTCAAAGCACTTCACAGAATATATTGTAAAGTGTATTGATGGTATTTTTGTGGGCAAAATGCGGCAGTTTATCTACAGCATTGCATGTAGAGTTGGAAAATCTGCCTTAGGTTTTGCCCGCTTGGGAATTGAACTTGGGTCCTCTGGCTTATGAGGGGAGTGCACTAACCACTACGATACATGACTCCACATCTTAGAGCACTCAAAAGAAAAGAAACCTGCAGCTGAGCAGAGCACAGATGGCAGAAGCGACTCAAATGTTCGGTTGCATTTCACAAAGTCATTTCAACCCTCAAGTCTGATGCACAGAAAATAATTAATGGCTGGCAGGGCTTTGCAAGGCAGTCAGGGACACTTGTGGGGCTTGAATGATGTACCCTGCAACAGCAAATGGCAAAGTGGTTCACAGCACATCAGGTTAAACTGCAACATGAAGAATAACATCCTGTTTAAAAAGCTGTGCCGAAATTGGGCTTCTCAAAGATGGTGCCACATTGTCCACCTCTCAACATTGCCCGCCTCGGCCACCATCTCTCCCCTCAGGCTGCAGAATCCCTCATCCATGCTTTCATCACATTGAGGCTTGATTACCCTAACTCAGTGTTATCAGGGGGAGAGGGGGATTACGCTGCCTGCTCGCCAGACTTCCAAACTCTTCCCTTCACAAACTGCAGATTATTCAAAACCCTGCAGCTGGTATCCTCTCCAGCACAAACTCTGTGAACCCATCACCCCCAACCTTGCTGGTGAGGAGCATGCTGACCACTACACCATGGGTCTCCACAGCAGTTTGGACTGGGGGGAGGCGGAAGAGAAAAGTCTTCAGGTGCGATCTGAGGGGCTAAGGCAGAGAGTTCCAGAGTCTGGGAGTGCAGCGCCGAAAGCACAGCCGCTGATGGTGGAACAGAAAACAGCAAAACAAAACAGTGTGGCTCTGTAAGGGTTAAGCTCATTTTATCTGATCAGCAGCGAGGCGACGAGTTCAAGCGGCGGCTGTGATGAGCTCAGGTGGTCAGAGCCTGAGGAGGGGAAACCCACACACACGGCGCTTCCTCCTGATAGACAACCTGAGCCGAGCAGCGCCCGCCCCGACTGCCAAGGCTTGTGTGTCTGGGAGGGGGAGGGGGTGTGAGAGGGGGGGGGCTGTGAGAGGGGGGGGGCTGTGAGAGGGGGCTATGAGAGGGGGACACTGAGGGGGGCTGTGAGGGGGGAGGGGTGTGAGAGAGGGGGCTGTGAGAGGGGGAGCTGTGAGAGGGGGGGCTGTGAGGGGGGAGGGGCTGTGAGAAGGGGAGGGCTGTGAGGGGGGGAGGGCTGTGAGGGTGGGAGGGGCTGTGAGGGTGGGAGGGGCTATGAGAAGGGGAGGGCTGTGAGGGGGGAGGGGCTGTGAGAAGGGGAGGGCTGTGAGAAGGGGAGGGCTGTGAGGGGGGGAGGGGCTGTGAGGGTGGGAGGGGCTGTGAGAAGGGGAGGGCTGTGAGAAGGGGAGGGCTGTGAGAGGCGGGGGCTGTGAGGGGGGAGGGGTTGTGAGGGGGGCTGTGAGAGGGGGGGCTGGGAGGGGGGAGGGGTTGTGAGAGGGGGCTGTGAGAGGGGGGGTGTGAGAGGGGGGAGGGGTTGTGAGTGGGGGGCTGTGAGAAGGGGAGGGGGGGGCTGTGAGAGGGGGAGCTGTGAGAGGGGGAGGGGGGCTGTGAGAGGGGGGCTGGGAGGGGGGGAGGGGGTGTGAGGGGGGGCTGTGAGAGGGGGAGGGGGTGTGAGAGAGGGGCTGGGAGGGGGGGAGGGGGTGTGAGAGGGGGGGCTAAGAGAGGGGAGGGGGGCTGTGAGAGGGGGGGCTAAGAGAGGGGGGAGGGGGTGTGAGAGGGGGGGCTGTGAGAGGGGAGGGGATGTGAGAGGGGGGCTGGGAGGGGGGGAGGGGGTGTGAGAGGGGGGGCTGTGAGAGGGGGGCTAAGAGAGGGGGAGGGGGGGGGGAATTTTTAGTAATGACCCACTGAACGGGCAGCACAGAGCTGTCAACGTGCATCACTCAGGGAGAGAGAGAGAGGGGGAGGGAGAGAAAGAGAGGGAGAAAGAGAGAGAGAGGGGGGGAAATAAAAAGAGAGCTTGAGCAGTGGTTTGCAGACAGACAGCCGAGCCGTCCTGTCGGGAACAAAGCAGACGCTGGTGCTGGTGTGTGTGGCTGTGTGTCAGGCAGCGGCCGGTGGGCGCCCCGACTCTCACACCAACAACAACCCCCTCTCTGGTTGCCAGCGCTGACCCAGCCCGGTGATGGTGAAGCGGGGTAAATAGTGAAGGCAGACGGATGAGGCTTCGGCCGGATCTGAAGGTAAAGTGTATGTTGTCAGTTGCCTTGTGTTTATCTGGTTTCCCAGAGTGGCTCCCGAGCAGCGAGGCTCTGCCTTTCACTGTATCAGCTTCCAGTGACAGCCCGACCTCACTTACTCACTTCATAATCCTGCAGCACTGGGAAGATTTCAGACGTTGTTAAGTGGGTTATAAGAGAAACAGCAAAGTGTCAGGTTTACAGATCAGTGTGCCGATCCAGAGCCAGTGTGCTCAGGAGGAAGATTGTACTATCAACAGTTGCCACACTGAGGGGAGATACCAGGGTTTATCTTGTGTGAAGCAGGGCAGAAAGCAATGGTTACACAAAAAGACAGAGAGGATAGAGAGAGAGAGAGAGAGAAAGAGAAAGATTCCTGAAAGATGCCCAGTGCTGTGACCCACGTCGCTGGGGCATCAAAAAGGTTGTAAAAAGCAAACCCAGCACAACATACGATCCGCTCTTTCTCGGTCTGTCTCTCCAGAGGAAACGCTGACGAGTGACTGCCTGCGAATGTGCACTTATCAGTGAGAAGCTGGACACCAGGGTAACCTTACATTTATCCTGCACTCAGCAATTCATCACATCACAGCAGCCCGTCTCAGTCTGCACCCCGCTCTCTCCAATAAGTGCTGTGTTATTTTAATAAATATATATTCTGTATATACACAGTGTATAAAACGCGAATTGTAGATGCTGCACTGCCCTGCCAGACGTTTTGATCCACAAGCGCTGGAGTCGCTCTGCCCCCAACCCCGCGCCCATAACTGAAGCTTTTTTGTTCCAAGTGTAGCAGACTCCACAACACGCTAAACCATCAATCTGTCAAAACCGAGAACTGTAACTTCACAGCAATGCAGAACACCCTCAGTGACAGCAACAGCCGATGACCTTGATCAATTCTCTCTCTCTCTCTCTCTCTCTATATATATATATATGTTATATACACAAAGTACAGTGCACTTCTACAGGGTTTGCATTTCTCTCCACACAGCAAATCGGGGCGAAGGTCAGGCTGCCTAGAATAATAGTCCTTTCATTTGATATCACTTGGTTGAGACGCCTGAAAGCAGTTTGCAGGTTATACTGTAAAGTGACTGCATGTTTTGTGGGCGAAACATTGGCAGCCAGGTGCGCACAGCAATGTTCCATAAACAGTGAGTGACCGATTTTTATCAGGGGGATTGTTGGCCAGCACACCGGGAGAGAGAAGCTCCCATTTTGGAATGGGACTGCGAGCTGAATGCAAGTTCTCTCTCTGATTTTTGCGTCCTCCTGGCGGCCTTGGGTTGTTTTTTAATGTGTTATAGACACAGTCAACCCACTTTACAGTACATTCTGTGAAGCACTTTGAGACGTTTCAACGATGTGATAAGGCACTATATCAAGTGCAAGGATTATCAATATTCTATAATGTGTTCATACCCTGCAGGTTAGAAACATTTTTAAACTGCAAGACAGCACTTTCTGTGGGGACGGGAGACTGGAACAGGGTGGGAGAGGCAAGTTGAAGTGTTGCTGGCCTTTTCAAGTTAATAATGATAATAATAATAATAATCCTTGCATTTTGTCAGTTCCTTATCACGTCACTATCGCAAATGCAAGGATTATTATGAAGTTAAATAGTTAAGTTAATTAAAGTTGAATAATAAGCCTGACAGCTTCAATTTTCAGTTGGTCAGGCTGTTTCTTGGTTTTGTTAACACAGAGCTTGCGATGGCAAGCGAGCAAGACAACTGTTTTTTGCAAAGGCTTTTTCTGCTTTGGCTTCAGCTAGAGTGCACAAAGAGGGATCTGTAGTGTGGTGACACACACAGCATTCAGTGAGTGAGTGAGTGCCTCACGTGGTTCCACTGCAATGACTAATACAGGGAGCCTTGTTTGTTCACTGAGACTGCTGAGTGCCATTTCTGTGTCCAAATTGGTCAACTTGCCGGTCAGGGGAGACTGCACTAACTCAAGTGCTGAGGCAAATAATAACTTAGGAATCAGAATTGTCAAAATATCTTTAAAAAAACTCGCATTTAATTTGGCGCCTTCCTTGTCGAGAAGACGTATTAAAACGCTCCATGGGATTGTGTTGTAAAGTGTAATGAGTGTGTATTGCTGTCAGCGAACTGTTTGTTGTAAGTTGCCAGGGCAACGCATTAGATACAATAGCAATGATAACAATTATCGAGCATTTGAATAGCACCTTGTCCCATGCCACGACGTCTCAAAGCGCTTCACTCAATTTTTCTGTGATACAAAGGGGGAAGGAGGAGAAAGACGCAATGGGGCAAGGAGGAGAATAATACGGAAGAAACAAAGTGAAAAAGAAACATTTGAAAGAAGTGAATTTCAGTGAGAGAATGAAAAGCATAGAGAAGAAATGGAGATGAGGGGAAGGAGAAAGTCAAAGAACAAAACTAGAATAAAGTCCATTACCATTCAAGAACAACAACACAGAAACAGAAGCACAGAAAAGAGCTGAATTGCTATGGGCACCTTTTTTCTGGCAGGTCCATACACCAAAGTAAATGTACCGGAGGGACAATACAGGGTGGAGGAAAACTCATGCACTGAGACTCTGACCTTGACGTGGGATCACAAGGGCTCTCATTTTCCTGAGATTCAATTACTTTTCTGGGATGGAAAGTTAAAAATGATTTCTTGTCACGTGAAGTGATGGCCTTAACAGTAACAGTCAGCACTGATAAGTAGTGCAATTAAAATATATTGCCAGAGGTAGAGCTCAGGAAATGCCACTCACGTTTCACAAAATCGGTTCGGGTGAAGAAGACCCTTCGGCCCACCCAATCTCATCCCTCCAGAACACCCACCCAACCATCTCCCCATCACAGCATCAAGCTGCTTTTTTAAATGAGTCCCAGTGTCCTGGCCTCAACCACCCTTCCTGGTAGCCTGGTCCAGTTGTTAATTACCCTCTGGGTAAAGAAAAACTGGTATCTGTCCTGACATTGTCCCTTTACAACTCTAAACCCATGTCCATTTTCTTGTTCTACTGTTCATGATAAAATATTGTTGGCTGCCAACCTTTGGGGTTGGCCAACAAAATATATTTTCTTGATAGACTATTTCTTGATTGATGCCATAAATCAAGAAATATTAAATCAAGAAAAAACTGAAAACACGTGACCCTCGAACGTGGACGTGATCTTACCTAGACTCGTGTGAATGTTTGAGGGGGACACCACTTTTTGATGCTCATGGATCATTTCTGGCCTGTGGGCCACCACTCTTAAACTATTGATGTGGGATTATGTTTTCAGTCTCATTTAAACTGTTACACATCTCCATGAGACATTATCCTGATATAAAATGCTGTCTTCCAAATGTACAAATTATTATTGAATTTGATACAACCCTTTTCACATCGGGAGAACGTCTCAAAGCATTTCGCAAGATTTACTGTAAAGTGTGTATTTTGTGGCAGTCAACTTACACACAGGAGTGTCCCACAAACATCCAATTTTATTCTGGGGGATGGATGTCCAGGACACCGGGAGAGAGGAACTCTGTTCTCTTTCCAAATAGTGCCATTTAACATCCACCTAAACAAGCAGATGGAACTTTGGTTTAACTCTTTCTAAAGCAGTGCAACCAACAAAAAAGATAAGGTGGCCAAGAATTAGACAGAAATTGTCAATTGAAAAAGGCCAAGTATATTGCGGAGACCCACTCCACAAATCATAGGGGGAAATCACGAGAAATCATGGTTCCAATGACATGAACGTTGTTGCTAACAAAAATGTGAAAGCGATTATAAAGTTGGGCTGATCAGGTTGATTTGTGCTAAGGTTTTTTGCCCTTCCTTTGTGTGTCAGCCTGATGCAGTGGTAGCACTCTCGCCTCTAAGTTTGGAGTTCAAGCCCCTCAGTGGGTCTTGGATCACACAGTCTAAGCTGGCATGTCAATTCAAGGCAGGGCTTTCCCTACAAAATGTCTGCTCCCTCTCCAATAAAGCCCTCACTATCCATGACCTCATCCTGGATGAGCACATGGATATTCTTGGGCTTACGGAAACTTGACTCTCCTCCGGTGTCCGTCCCCCCAGTTGAAGTCTCCCCTCCTGATTACACCTTCCACCACACCCCCTGTCCTAAACAACGCAGCAGGGTGGCCCTCATCTCCCAAGATTCCCTCAGTCAATCCCCATATTCCTCTGGCTGCTTCTCTTCATTTGAGCACTACACCCTCTACCATCCCTCCTCTCTCTTACTCAAAATTCTCCTGGTTTATCACCCCCCAAAACCCCCTGGCTCCTTCCTCTCCGATATCTCCTCTCCTCCCTGCCCCTATGTTCAGAACGCCTGCACATAATGAGCGACTTCAACCTCCACCTAAACTCTCCTTGCACCACATCCTCAGATTTCACTGCACTCCTCTCCTCCCTAAACCTCACCCTCCATATCAACTCGCCAACCCACAATGGGGGCCATTCTGTCAAACTCGTCATCACACGTGGCCTTCACATTTCCGATCTGTGCATCATGGACAAGGCCATCTCGGACCACTTCCTCATCTCCTTCTCCTCTCGCATCCCTCTCCCTTCCATCAAGCCCTCAACCATACTTTTCTGCCCATAAAAAAGACTTCCACCCGCAGTGACCCTGAAGCAGCCGTCATGCTGCTCCATGATCGTCTCTCCTCCACCTTCAACTCCCTCGTCCCCCTGAAATCCAGGACCGTCTCTAATCCCACCCGCTGTCACTGGTAGAACAGCCATCTCCGCTCCCTAAAATCCCAAACCCGGTTACTCGAGCGCAGGTGGCAGAAAACCAGCCTCACGGTTCACCACCAGCTGTGGCTCGAGTATCTTCACACCTACCGTTGCTCTCTCTCACAAGCAAAAACTGTGCATTACTCAAACATCATACTGGAGGCCAACAATAACTCCAAAATCCTATTCTCCACTGTTCACCACCTCTTCCGTGCGCCCCATCAAGCAACGTCAATTATCACATATAACGCCAAGTGCGAAGAGGTCATAGATTTCCTTA